GCCCAAGGCTCTTCCATAAGTGTAAAATTATTTATAATCGCAATAAATGACTTATCTAAACTTATACCCACCCCTGGAAAAATTACAATATATGCGGATGACAGCAATATTTTCTTTCGACACAAATGTATTGACACTTTAGGAAAAGAATTACAGAAATACACCAACTCGCTTAACGATTGGAGCAAAAATACAGGGTTCAAATTTGCACCAGAAAAATCCCAGTTCATAATATTTTCACACAAAAAAATTAAAAAAAAACCAACTTTAAAAATGGACAACAAAATAATTCCTTACACAAGACACTTAAAAATATTAGGTCTTACCTTCGATGAAAAACTTACCTGGACCACACACATAAAAAAGCTAAAAGACAAAGCCAAAAAAAGACTGAACATTATCAAAGTACTTTCAGGTACGAAATGGGGAGCAGACTCTAAAACCCTAATAAACATTTACAATTCACTGATCAGATCAATTTTGGATTACGGATCCCCCTTATATATGACATCGAGAAACTCAGCACTGACAATGCTTGACGTTATCCATAATGTTGGCCTAAGAATGGCATCTGGTGCATTTAGAAGTAGTCCCATAAACAGCATACTCAATATTACAGGAGAACAACCACTTAATAATCGGAGAAATCAACTGATGTTGCAATACGCAGTAAGAACAGCAACCGACCCGAACAAACCAACGTATTCCACAGTATTCAATAACAGATTCGAAAATACCTTTAACAACAACAACAAATTAATACAACCTATGTACAAAAGAATAAAAGAAAAAGAGGGAGAACTAAAATTAGAAATAAGTAATATATTGACTAGAGAAATACTCGTAAAACCTCCATGGACAACGACAAAGTACTCGTTTGACATGTCGATAGCAATTTACAACAAAAAAGAAACCACAAATCTTACATACAAAAATGCATTCTATGAATTAATAAACACATTACCAGACTACATACATATATATACCGACGCCTCAAAAACAGACAAAGGGGTGGGTGTTGCTGCAGTTTTTCTACAAACCGAACTTTCGGAAAGGTTGTCGGATAATTGTAGCATATATACAGCTGAGGCACTAGCTATATATAAAGCACTATCCTATATAATAAGTGCCAACCTGCATAATAATAAGTACATAATTTTGACAGACTCCATGAGCACTCTAGCTAGTCTTAGTAATATCAATAACAATAATGTTATAACTAATAAAATAATTAACTTGACTAATAAATTTAACGATAACTTAATCTTCGCATGGATTCCCGGGCACTGCGGAATACCTGGTAATGAAAGAGCCGACTTACTTGCCAAGGAAAAAGCCAATAACCCACATCAACTAACTGTGTGGAATATTAAATCCGACAAAGATACTAAAAAAATTATATACAACCAAATCAAAAATATCTGGCAAAAAGAATGGCTTAAAATGAATAGTAAATTAAATGAGATAAAAAGAACTATCGAAAAATGGAATAACCCTATGTCGCTCAAAAGAAGAGAGGAAGTCGTACTTAATCGCCTCAGAATAGGCCATACGCATCACACACATGGCCACCTCATGAAAAAGGAGCCACCAAAAATATGCCTTACATGCGGAATTACAACTACAATCAAACATATTATCACCGAATGCAGAGACACAAAAGAGGCACGACAAAAATTCAACATACCGGAACACCTTCACGACGCACTGGGCCCTGACGAAAAATCCATCCAAAACATAATTTTATTTTTGAAAGATACCGAACTGTACAATTTAATTTAAGTCATCATTTGATGTAAAAATAAGCCAATGGTCACGTTATCGAGGCTTTTCTCTTAATAAAAAAAAAAAAAAAAAAAAAAAAAAAATAAAATAATTAAATTTTAAAATGGTATATTATTAAATAATATCTTCTATATCTTCCCGGAAATTAAAAATACCAGTGTACGGTAACTTCATGACTTACTTCGTATATTATATTATCGAAACAAATAGTTTTTTGTGAAAGCCGAAATTAACACACCGTTTACGTCATAAAAATTCGAAGTATAATATACATGAATTACTTCTCCCTTGAATAAGTAACATGCAAAAGAGAGCAGAATATTATTATTTATTATTATATTATATAAGTACCACCAGAATGGAACGGGTTTCATATTAATTTTGTTTTTTTTTTTTTTTTTGATTGTCTTTTGCGTATGTACTTATTTTTCTGAGATACGATGACGTACAGGAATACAAAGATTCGTGCAACTAAATTGCTATAAAACAGGCAATAGTCGACAATTTCAATTTGAGTCATAAGTTTTTGTTATATTATTGAGTCTTAAGCACGGGATTACCAGGGTGGAGAATATTATATAAATTCCACTTGGATATAATTTATATATCATAAATCATTGTTTACTATATTACTTAACAATTAAATCGGAACATTTATAATTATATAATTTTCGTTTAATATTATTAATTGTACCTATACAAGTGTTAAAATGCACAGAGTATTCAAATAGCAATAAATTTAGCAAATCATAACGTATGTTATTTAAATATTCAGTAGGTAACGACTTTAGAACTATAAACATGTCTATCCGGATAATAAATCTTCAATATTGTACTTTTGGCTTTTTATTTTGTCTTACACTCGGGGTTCGATTACTCTTGTTGTGATTTATATTTCAATCATCTGATCATATTGACCTTCTAGCCTATTCATTTGTTAAACATATCATATTATTTAATAATTTAATAAATCATCTGAATTAGAATGTTATGGAAATAAATAAAATTGTAGAATATAAGTATTTGAAGAAATGTTGGATTACACACGTTTGTTAGGTAATTCATTTTTGTCCATGAAAATTGATGTGTAACATTATAATGTAAAATATATAATTTATCGTATCTATACATTATATTCTTATTTATTGCTCAAGTTAAATATAAAACGGAAAACAATTGTATACGCGTCGTATTCAATTTGATCGTGATAGTTAAATGTTTATCACTTAAGCTTGCTCAAACTTAAAACGTATTTAAGAAGAAATAATTACAAAAAAGTTTTAATTGGAATAAAGATTTCCCGAAGGAAATAAAATTGTGCATTACATTTATTATTATATATTCTTAAGCATCGTTTTTTATACTGGTACTATACTTAATAAAAAATAAAAATATTGATATAATAATAGAGAAAGTGTGTACCCAAATGATTTTTTTTTGACATGAAAATATTTTACTTACCCTACAAATATGTAGTTTATTGGTAAAAATAAGTCAGAAAAGTAAAAACATCGACCAACTTATTTCTTCTTTCTTATACCTAAGTCACAAATTAATACTTAAACAATTATTTAGGATGTTGTTTTTCTTAAATATTCCAGCTATATATTTTAATTTTATTAAAGTGATATTGTAACGTTTTACGAAGTTAGTCACGTTAAGAAAATGACAAATTAGAATTTGAGCATAAAAGTTGAATATTGAATTGTTGTCAAACGTGAACAAAGTCGGAAATTACTTATCAACAAAATATTTCTCTATTGGTAATCTTTTACTCTATATTTTACAGTCGGTAGTGTTTCAAAACTGGCTGTATTTGAAATTGAATAACATTTATTTAATCTGCAGTATATTAAACTCATAACATTGTAATATTATAAATGCCAGAATTTTTACAACTTTTAATTTTATGCGTGACAAAGTGTACGTGAACGTCATTAACAGCTATGGTATATAATTATAACCGACATTAACCATAAACCAAAAATGAGAAATACAGAAGACCTGATAGTTAACAGTAGACGTTATGAGAAAATAATATAGGGTGACAGAAATATTTAGTAATTCCATTGCACATTTACACCACATTGCTTCAAATTAGTAAATCATCACGCGTAGAATATTCTGTGTACATAGGAATTTGAAGTGGGATTTATACCTGACTTCCCTGACGGCATAATTGTTCATCATCCTAACTCACTGCAGCCACCATTATTAGACGTGAAGCCATTCTCTCTATCTAATGTTAGAGACCTACGAGTGTTAAATTAGTATAATACCAGAGTGATTTCGGGGGAAATTTGGAGATTATGATAATATAATATATTATATTTAAGTTGGGTCCTGTTTTAATAATATAATAACTGACGCTCAAAAAATAGGCTGACAAGATTGCACAAAACATATTATTCTGAAAGAGTCCATTCTATGCGCTCCCTTGATTTTTCTGTTCGATATTTTAATTTTATTTTGATCTGTTCAAATAGCTATATAAAGTTACGTTCAAAAAAAATAATACGTTTTGAGTTTCAACATTGCGTTTATTTTTCTCGAATGCAGTTTTTCTTTTTCTTTTTTATTGTTTTAAGTATTTTAATTTTTTTTTAATTCGTAGGGAGGGCTGTGGGTCGGGTCAACAGTAGTTATTGTCCTTGTAGGTCTCTACAACCAGAGTTATATATGCAGCTCACGCCGTTAAACGCATTGCGCCTTCTAGGCTTTCTATTACCGTTGCTCACTATCCGATAGTGGGGAAATTTAGATATTATGATATATTAAAATAGACTTAAGCTAGGTCGTATTTTAATATAATAACTGATGCTCAAAAAATAGGTTCACATGATTGCAGAAAACATATTATTCTGAAAGAGTCCATCCCATGCGATCCCATGATTTTTCCGATTTTGTAATATTATTACTATTTTTACGGTTCGATGCTTTAATTTAATTTTGATCTGTCCTAATAGCTAGTGTTCTAGTAGTTATTAAAAAAAATAATACGTTTTGAGTTTCAAGTTTCAACAGTGCGTTTTTTTCTCGAATGCGGTTTTTCTTCTTTTTTTTTTATTGTTTTAAGTATTTTTTTTTTTAATTTGTCGTCGGGAGGGCCGCGGATCGGGTCAACAGTAGTTATCGTCCGTGCAGGTCTCTACAACCAGAGTTATATATGCAGCGCACGCCATAAAACGCATTGCGCCTTCCGGGCTTTCTATTACCGTTGCGCACTATCCGATAGTGGGCGTCCGGGGATCCGCTATAGCTGTACCTGCTGGTGACAACTTCCCGTCGGATCAGGCTGCCGGTTCTCACATTGATGCACGGCACGAACGAGAAGAACTGCTTGAATCCTTGCCGGAATCTGAAAAAATAAAAAAAAATTCAAGAGATATTTACATCAAATACTATAATATATGGTGACAATCGAATGACACTACGTCGATGAAAAACACGAGATTATAATTTATTGTTTCATTTACAATATTGTGCATTTGTGCTGATATAGTGCGACGAGTATATCATATTAATTTTGACTCTGATAATGGTATGCGTCTGGATAATTAGATTTGCAAGTTTCTCCAAGCACACACAAATATATTGAAAACATGACGTTATTTTTATTATCTATTTATTTTCATATAGATCATACCTGTATACTACGATATGCAATGTCGTAACGTGATTATGCCATACACTAATACTCAACAGTACTCATCGTATTCGGGTGTTATTATTATTCATAAAAATTAGTTATTTATTTGATAATTTAAATTCTAGGTGTTCAACATTGTGAACTTTTTCGTTTTTTTTTTTCAGTAAATAAGTAGGTATTGTATAAATAATAAAAATAAATAAAAATGTTGTTTAATGTACGCTAGATTTTAATGACTATGGGAGATTATGTTAAATACGTGGTACGATTTATTTATTACAAAAAATTAGTAAAAAAGTAGTTTAAACATTTGAAACGGCTAACGAGTATATAAATATTTAAAAGGTACCTGAGGACTTCATACTGTTGACTTAAAATTTTATATTACAATAAATCAAAATGGTTACCAAAAAGTGAAAAAATGATTTTGTTTACATTTTAGACGCGACCTATTGCTATAAAGTGGTCCGTTATTTAATAACATAAGCAATAATATTCAAAATAAACAATTTTGGAAAAAAAGTACATTTACATTATAAAATAAACATGCTATCCATGATGAAATATCCATGATGGAAATACTTTCTATAAATCGATAGCAAAAAACGAGGACATAATAAAAATGCATACCTACGTTTTATAATAGAATTGAGAATATTCGTAATGAGACAATTTAAATTTGAATTGCGCTTTAGATCTTACGTTTGAAAATGCGAATATTGGATTTGAATTTTTGTTAAATAATATTAAGTAATAAGCTCTGTTTTTCGTTTGAATATTTTGTCGAATTCAAACTCAAAAAGTAAAAAACCATTTTTAAAGCATTGGCCTTGAATAAACATTTCAGACTTAACTAACCACGTTGACAAAATATTTAATAGCAAACAAATCTCATGTAATGTCTGCATCAAAGTAAACTTGATGGTTGTGTGGCAAAGATTTGCATTTACCAGTTCAGGTATGTATTATTATAGTGTAAGTATAGTAGTATTATATAGGTATGTTTTTTTTTGAATATATTTTATACTAAAATAATATTCATGTTTATAGGAACCAAACGTTTCTGTGTAACGTCATTTGATAATACCTTTTTGCGTTCCTAAATTGTACGTATAATATTATTGGTTTGGGAAATCTGCAGTCACAGACAATTTCTTTATTTTCAACTCTTAAAATGTGAAATTTAGATTTGACAGATCTTAACTATATAATATTATAAAGGTACTATTATTTTGTCGGCCAAGTACAAATTGCAATTTTTAAATATGACCACCAAGCATTAATCCTGCATCGTCAGTGGGCAGTACCTAAATAATATTATAAACTATTATGGCCCGTAGACAGCATTGATTTTTTTATTCGATACTTGTTCATTAAGATAATATGACGAAAATTACAAAACATAACCATATAGGACAGAAGAATGAGGGAACTAAAAATAATGCCTAGAGACACGCGTTGGGTTCTTCTAGGAGTATAGATGAGCTTCCGATTCCGTTCACAGGTAAATTTGTCAATATTAAATTTCACAATAAATTTTATCACGATGATAATATTATGTAGGTATGTTATACACACACTTCACAAAATTACATCACGAGATATAAGTAAACGATGGCGATAAGTAAATTGTCTCACAATATGAATAATCGACGAGATTCCCATCTATATACAGCTTTTGGTTGCAGGTGATTGTGGTTTGTTACCAGAAACGTTGAATCCAGTTAATAGTGTTAGGGTTGATACTACATAATATATAGGTAATATTTCTGTGAGACTATTAAAACAAGAGAATTATAAAATATTTCGATCGTGACATAATAATATTTATGCTGGTATGCATATTTAATACGAAAATAAATCTGTTTATGATAAGAATTTTTTACAACGAGGAAGTCGTATTTGGGGCGTAACCCGTTCAATTCAAATAACATTTTGCTCGAAAACGTTTAATATAAGAGACAAGAGTATAGGTATAAGGTCTTACGCGTTTCATCTTTACAATATTACAAAGTTTTTCTTTATGATATACTTAAGAAAATCTATTCAGGAAATATCAAAAATTCTGTATATTTTATATAAATATTAATAATTTTTATATCCACATTGTTAAAAACTACAACTTTGAAAATATAACAGTCGTTAAATTGTTTGGATTATAAAGAAACCGATTGATGTGCATGCATTGAAAGAGTTCTATATTATGTAGTTGAAATAAAATTTATCGAATACTATAATATAATTGTAATGATAATATTTGTCATATTTTCCACAATATTTGTTCTATAACGAATAGCAACAATTTTTTTGACCTTAAAAATATCTGAAAAGCAACTATATGATGGCCTAAAGGTTTTATATTCATATTATTTATTATTTAATGTTCCTCGATATATTTTATGGTACTTACTGTGTATTAATGAGTAAGTAGAATATAATATAAGCAAATTATTGCGTTAAATATAATATTTTTAAAGTATTTGGGATATGTTAAATTAAAGAAAATTCAATGTCAAAACTTTTAATTAAATTATATTTTTCTTTATGGAAAAAAATAATGTTTTTTTTTTTATCTTGGTTAGGTAATTTGTTGGGTGATGTATTAATGAATAAATCATTGTAAACAAATATTGACACCAATGGTTAAAATTACATTTTAGAATAATGGTAATTAATTTATCGTTATAAAAAATGTATGCTTCACAGTTGAATACATTTAATGAAATTAAATTGAACTAAAATACAAAAATCGATAAAGGTCCGAAGAAATTTAATATGTATTAAGTAAGTACGTTAAGCACACGTCAAAAATTAAAATATTCAGATAGTATGGTCTTACTAAGGTCCAAACTTAAAGTTTCTGCTTCTAAACTTAATATGAACACTGTGGTTAAAATTAATTAAGCTGTTACATCACGCGAATAGAAAAATACTACGAATGTGAAAAGTATTAGACTTAAATTGAATAGCACACAAAATCTGTTGTTTGACGTTGATCTAAGCTAGACAAGTAATGTCGGGCATTCACGTTTTTATTTTAGTGTTCGGAAAAAAATCGAACCCGTGTAATTTCGTCTAATTCATTTCTAAAACATTTAAACATACTGAAATATATTTATATTTTTCAAAAAATATTATTTGAAAATTCAATACATATTTAATTTTATTCCTACAATAGGAAATAACATATGCAATGATAGCCACTCTTCGTAAATAGACTATTCTAAAAAGAGTGTCATCAATGATCATCATAACCCTAACATATATAATATTATAATATTGTACATACAGCCACCAGAGATAAATACGTATATATTGCATATTTGCATGCACATCCTATTTTCACATTACTACACATAAGTATAATGCGCCATGAATTGTTTATAAACTTTTGTTTTTTTTTTTTGATAATTATAGTGAACAGTGAATACCACCAATAAATGTTTGTTGCCAACAATACAAACATCACTTTAATTTTATTTTTTCGTTACTATCAGCTTTCAGCAAATCTATAACTATTTTACCTTTCGATCCTAAAACTTATGCACGTATTGCCAAATCGTTGCCCAATAGAAAAAACTGTCAGGACTCAAGCACACTTTTGTCTAAAACCTGTGACTATATTTTTTATTGCTATTAAATCACTCTAGAGTCAAGATCCCACATATTAAAACCAAGAACAACCCTTATATGTAAATTTTTTGTTGTCTAAGACATGTGTTCACCTATACTTATTCAGTGGTTGCAAAGGTCATTCGATGTCAGTATTCATACTAAAGAATACTGAATTAAATGTTTTAGACATTTTTGTTCACCGATCTACCTACAGCACTTTATTCCATCTCACAAAGCTATATTTTTATGTTAAAAACTTTGTCTTCCTACTTTTCGAATCACTACAGTAACAAATCAAACACTTGTTAAATAAGTCTCTTGTTTTATGGTTTTATTGAATTTAAATGATCAAAAGAATGACAAAACAACTCGATTGTAATATGTGAATAGAGCTGCTTACTCTAATATAATTTAAATTCTTTATGAAACCAGCAGTTTTATTAATGTTCAAAACTCGTATTTAAGAAAAACGTTTAAACATTTAAATTTTTGACGGCTGTTGAGCCAGTTGTACGTTTCACAGCTTTAATTTTACTGTACAGTTGAATAAATGACAATTAAAAAGCATTCCATCTATTTGTTTTCCGCAATTAACAAAGTTTTAAACATAATATTAAAAACAATATTACACCAGAGGATAACGGAGTTTTTTCATTATCTACACAACACTTTGCACAATGTATAAACAACTGTAGTGTGACAGACGACGGGTTACAAAAGATTTAGTGTCCATTAGTAATTATTATCAAAACTAGGTACCGCATAAATGAACGTTCATTTGAAATGCAGTAGCCATTTATTTTTCTTTTAATCATGAATCTAGGATTTCTCTTGGGATTTATTTGTATTTTTAATCCTCGTAGAAGAACTGCAGTTACGAGCGACTAATATTGATACACCACAAGTCACGACCCGAATAAAATATAACTTGGAACGTTTGCACCAAAATTAATAAATTTTATCTCTAAGAAAAATATGCGAGTGTCTTCTAGTCGACGATAGTATACAATATAATAGAAATTAATAAATAATATTCGAAGTATAGCGTCGTCATTCTGGTGTGCATAATATTTTGTACTGCTGATACTATATTG